AAAAAAAAAGAACATCTGTGAGTCGTCGTTCATACACTTTTACTCAGCACTGTCCCCTGTGACGTGTGCAGAGCGCAGGACCTCCATCTCTTCCCTCAAGGGTGTTAAGTTCCAGTTCACAGAGTCAGCGTGCGCGTGTCATGGTCCTGTCTCTCTCTGTCCTACACAAGAATTGTGGAGACTCAGGCACCAATCTTGGGCTCGTGTGGACAGTTGGGCAGGAGCCACGGCCTTGTGCGGGACGCAGCACGTGAGTCGCAACGTGAAGGAGCTCGGGCACCAGCCACCCAAGCACACGTCATTGCTGGCCATGGAACCAAATGACTTCATTTTTAAAATCTGAAATGACGCTTCCTACCCTGTTGGCATCATTGGTTTGTGGCGCTGATGATGGAAAATTCAGCGTGCTGTCGGCTGTCCAGAAAGAAATCTCAGGGTGCAACTGTAGGGGCCTGTTCATAAGTGAAGCCTGAGTCTCTCCAGTAATGCGAAGAAAAAAGAAGTCAGAACTTTCTCCCAAAGGCTCACATCTTCATATGTAGTGACCAAGTGACCTGAGCCAAAGATAGCCATCGTTTTTTTCCCCACAACGATTTCCTCACCTACTTCCAGCACCTACTGGAGCCTGACACTGACTATGGGATGCCTATGGGCTGAGTTGTATCCCCCAAAAAGATAGGTTTAAGGCCTGACTCCCAGAACCTCAGAATGTGACCTCGTTGGACACAGAGTTGTTACAGATGTAATTAGTTAACATGAGGTCATTCTGGAGTAGGGTGGGCCCTTATCCGACCTACTGTAATGCTTGGTGTCTTCAGGAGAGGACACAGAGGCACACAGGGGAGAAGGCCGTGTGACGACAGGGGCAGAGTGGAGAGGTGCACCTACAAGCCAGGGATCGCCAAGGATCGCCAAGGATCATGGCAGCCGCCAGAAGCCGGAAGAGACAGGAGGGAGCCCCACAGAGCCTCAGACAGAGCAGGCCCTGCTCGCACCTGTGGCTGTGAGAGAACCCATCCTGTGGTGTAGGCCACCCAGTTTGTGGGCCTTTGTTCTAGCAGCTGCAGATGCTCCTACAGATGCCATCTGCTGCAGGTTGCTGGCTCAGGTCTCGTCACAGGACCTGGTTTTGGAAGGAGGCCTGGAGGCCATCTTGTTTTGCTTCCACCTAAGGATGACCCTGTGGCACGTGCCCGAGCTCAGCCTTTCAGTGATTCCCACCATATCATGTGTCCCGCCTCAGTACCCGCGTCCATCAGGGCTCCGTGGAGAAGCCGTGTCACTGGCCTGC